GCTTTGCAACGTAAAACATGATTGTATGTGCCTTAAGATTAAATTGAAACTGGGAGCAAAAATACCCCAGATGATCACCAAGTAATGTGTGTGCCCGGCTTATATAATGCGCGAACACATAAATGAAAATACTTAACGCATCAATGCATCGCCTTGTTTTTCTATCAGCAAAACAAGATGCAACGGGTGGGTATAAAACTGATTATATATAAAAAGCATGTCACGAATCTCGTACATCTAACTGTGTTGTGGACATACATTCTGATGACTGTATGTGGGGGGAGACTCGAACATTGGTTCACAATCTGTTGAGCTAATACGGCAGAATATCTGTCGGGCAAAATTGCAGCGGCTGGATATGACAATGTTCGTGTGCTCTCTATAGAGCAGCATAAAACGCCGGGATTCCAGCTGATACTACACTCGAGTGTCTTGCACATGCACTCGTGTTATCCAAAATGTCATCGAACTGAGTGGATGTATGTAGATCTGCCGAATAGCCGTTGAACTTTTCAGGCCTTTAGCCGGGTTACCAGAATTTTGAGTGACCGTTTTCTTTAAACGTGTGTGGAATACTTTGTGGCAGATATCCGACAAGGAAGGAAGCATACGCAGCCTCGGGTTTCCTGGTGTTTTAGTGATGAACGCCGACTTGTCCAAGAATGGTCGTTTCAAATGTGCGTGTGTTTCAAATATCCGAGACCCAATACTACGACTGTTCGTGCTACGGGGTGGTCTGGGGGTAATTTAGTACTGTCCTCTGCGACAGGTGTGTGAAGTCGGTAAGTTGTTTCCCCCACGCGACAGGCATCCCCGTATTTGCGGGAGCAGCGATGTCACCTTCCTTAGAGGAATAACGGGTTAGGAAAAGTCTGCCCCGAAATCTGCACACTCCGATCGCCCAACGGTTGACCGTGACCGCCGGCGCATTATCCAATGTGGCCGAAACACTCTAGAAACCAAAGAGTCCGGTGCTGCTGGAAAAGCACCTGCTGTGAGCAGTCGCATCATGAACGAAACAGAAATGCCTTGTCCCCTGAGCCCTCGGGTTAGGGCAACCTCTGTAGGTGTGCAGGTCATATTATTGAGTCATCGGCTCCGATGAGGGTCCCCAAGAAAATCCCACCGTAAGCTGCCTCGTAGGTCAGGCTTTTGAGCCAGAGGCTGGAGGAAGGGTCCCGGAACAAAACCCTATGTCCTCCCACTGCCTTGTAGGTCAGACTATTGAGTCGGGGGTTCAAGGTAGGGTACCTCAACCAAACCCCCGTCTTCGGCCTGGGAAACAGGGAAGTATCATTTGCCCGCGCAGTTCGGTGTATATCGATGTCCGTCCCCAATCCTTTCTCACCACACGAACGAACGCCACTGGGTCATTTGACTGTCAGTTATCTGATCGAAGGGCTTAAAGCTCCTCACTGCTTACCAAAAATAAACAAAACAGCACCCTTCTTAGTCCACGAGATACGTTCTATATAGGAGCTCTTAACGTCCGTACTCTATGTCAAATTGGAAAACAAGCTATGCTTGTTGAGACTTTATACTCCTTCAAAATTACCATATGCTGTTTCTTCGATCACGCATACCAGACCCGAGCGTGGTTATCACTTCACAATGCAAAGAATGAACTCAGCGCTGTCGAATTCCTCACTCCGTGTGTCCGGCGACCCAGAAACGATGACTCGTAAAATATATGGCGTAGGAGATGCACTTAGCCTCAGAGGTGAACAAGCTTTGCTGGGTTGGATCCTAGTGAACAGTCGTCTCTGCGCCGTCCGGTTATCTAGTTCAATAAAGCTCAATGCCTCTCGGAGAAAAAGCGGTGCCTGTTTGTATTGTCAGCTCATGCCCAAACGGACTGTTGTTCTGAGGCAGAGAAGGATGCTCTCTACCGAGAGCTATCCAGGCTTATTCGTCAAGCAAAATGCACTAACAATGTGATCCTTGCAGCAGTCCAAATGATCGGGTGGGTCGACCGAGCTCCTTAGAATCACATTTGGGCGGTCAAATCGAAGTCAGAACTCGATGCATAGACAACGCAGATCAACACCTTTATTTGTGTGCTGATTATGAACTGTTTCTTGCAAGTACGAACTTTCAGCACAACGTAATCTGGCGGCCACCAACTACAACTCAATCGTGGACCCAGGTGTATCATGTGGCCATTAGCCACCGGTTGGGAGCCCTAATTCAAGACTGGCGTTCTTTCTGGGGCACACTACTTGATTCCAGTCACGTCATGGTGTGTGCACGCCTGAGAGTTTGTTCTCCTTCAGTCTCTCGCAAGTCAGCAATGAGCTTGCCAATCCACTCACGTTTAGTAATTGCCAAAGCTCGATAGTGTCGATCTGAGCTAGCCCAACAGCTCTCCACAGTAAACCAATACTGTGATGGCAGTGAGCATGTGAAAGAAACGCGGAAAAATATGAGAGGAGCTATGGTGGCGGCGTTCATTGCCGTCTATCCGACTTCTCCAATCCGACCACAAGAACGCTGGATGTCATTGAGATCATTGTGCATGATAGGCGCGAGAAAATGGGTTCGACGGCGCACGCATATCTCTCAAACGACAAATTGAGTCTAAGGAGAGACTAAGACCTCTGGTGGCATAAAAAACTCGAGAGATTGAGAGAGCCTTTGCTAGGGGAAACAACTGTGCCCAATGTCAACTGATACGATCAACTGCCTGCTAGCTGTGGCATCGAAAGTGCTCTCCGGCCTTATCATTCGAAGTTTGACTGAACACAGGGGGGCAGATTCGTGGAAATCAAGGTGGGTTCCATCCTGCATCAGGCTGAATCAGACATCTTTACGCTCCGACAGATTGTGGAACAGCAACCTTGCTTCCAGCAACCAACAATGGTTGTGTTTCTTGATACGAAAGCTGCCCTTGACCCTATAGAGCGTCAGGAACTATGGCAGCGTCTGTGGTGCGAAGGTGTTTCTCATAAATTCTTTACCCTCAATAAAGCGCTGTACGCCAACTTTCGCGACAGTGTGAAGGTCTATGGAAAGCTCTTGCCTGAGTTCACGCATCAAGTGGTGTCCGACAGGGCTGTCTTCCTTCACCTTCCCTTTTCAATTCCGTCAATGATGCGATCATGAAAGACTCACTAACACCCTCTATTGCCTGCTAGGTCGAAGTGTTTCCGGGTCGTCCGCCCACACATCTCGAATACGCAGGCGACATAGTTCTTCTGGGATCTGATTTCGTGTTAAGAAAAACAATATCAAATAGTCTAACTGATTCTGTCTCTAGGTTCGGCATGCGCTTCACGCCTGCAGAATGTAAAGTTCTACTGCAAGACTTGGTGGGCTCGAACAATTGTCTCATGCTTGCGGAGGAGGTAGTAGACAAATTTGTTTAATTGGGCAGTTATATCAGTCCCGGTAGTCTCGCGAATGATGATAATTCCATCCGGATGGGGAAGTCTAGAGCAGCAGTGGCGAAGCTGCTTCACCTGTAGCGTAGGCTTGACATCAGCTTCTCCGTCAAGGGTCGAGTTTACGATGCTGCGTGTGCTCCATATCAATCAACGAATTTGAAACCTGGCCGCTGCGCGCCGAGAACGTCAAAAGATTTCAGTGTTTGGAAACCGATGTTTTCAAGGCATTGTCCGAGTTCAGTGGGAGCACAGGATTAGCAATGCTGCGGGTCGTCGAATGGTATTCGGAAGAAATATCTCACTCTCGATAGATGAACTGATCACACCACCTAGGCTGTGCTGGCTTGTACACCTGCTGCGTATGCCACTCGAGCGAATTCCTTGGAAGGCTCTTTTAGCAAAATCACGTGAATGGTGCAAGAGGCCCAGAGGCGGTCAAACAATGTCTTGGCAGCAATTACTCGCAAACTCAACTGCGCTGGGCATTGCCGTCTTCCTAAATGGGGACCACAAGCCGAGTCATATCAATGGTTACATACATTGTCAGACATGGCCCAGTAGCCTATCAGTGGTGCTCATGAGTCCAAGCTATAGCCCTCAATGCATAGCACATTTCCCAATCCCCCCGCTTAACAGTCCACTAACAAGCACTAATTTATCAGCCCCCGCCTTCAATGCCTACCACATCTCCCACAATCGTCGGTGAACGGAGCTGTGGCAGCTACAACCGACGTAAGACAAAAACGCAGTTATTACAGCTGACAATCGCCATGATGATGATGAATATATGTTATGAACTCGGAGCGATCTCAAAGTGATGCCTGAAGAAAAGTCGAACAGTGTGGTTAGCTTGTACTTCATGATCTCACGAATAGTAGTCACGTGAAACTAGCTAGTCAGTATTACACAGTCTACGAAAAAACGTACTATTTTCAGGGGGAAAATATTAAACGTCTACCCTAACACATACTTGCACGCGGCAACATTTAACATCATTAAATCCTTACAAAAATCCATTGTAGATGGCTATGCCGCGGTCTATCCCTTGTCGATGTCCATTCTTGTCCCGACGTTGATAACAACCGTGAACTTTGCGTCTACGTAGACAAAGCTGATCCAGGAAGTCCCTACTTCGGGCGTTCTTCTATCGCTTTTGAATTGATACCGTGTTTGAATTGCTGCTTGTTTGCGCTAAGGTTTGACCTGCTTAAACCTACGACAATTCCACCTTCGATATAATCCAGTAAACCTTTTTGATTTTGCAATAAATTCTGCTTTCAATTTGAAATTTTTCTATGGAGGAAAATGTTGGAAGCTCAGGTAATATAGATGGTCGTTGGCTTGTTTGCTGAGCTGGGCAAAGCTTTTACGATGAAGCGTTTGCAATCAAATTGCCCAGCCCAGCGAACAAGTCAACCACCTAGTTGAGAAGTTGTTTGATTGTTTGTTGGAGCGAATGCCTTTGTTCGTACGACATACATACGTGTGACATCCTAGCAGATATTTTGTGGAGGAGATCTTCAGTACATCTTTTTCTACGTAAATTTTAGGCAGATTGCTCCCCGGAATATGTTTACATGGAACCGAATTTCTTTGGCTGTTTATGGTGGATATTTGCGCGGAACGGTACATTACAAACGGAATCAGAATAAACCAGGTGCCCCGCATCAGTCAGATGAGCACGCTTGATAAAGTACCTTCAACCGAATGCTAGCTAGATCTGTTTATCCTCCTTTGCTTTCTAGAATAGCCAGCATGCTGTGCACTACCACCACTACTTCCTTTAAATCATTAATGAAAATATTCAAGACGAAGCTGTATTTCATTCAAAGTAGATAACAGATGCTTTTGCTCCAGGAACACGTCTAAATTTCAGAAGCCCGTATGAGATTGTTGGTATTGATCAGATGGCTTATGAACATCAATGCGGGCAATGACGATATCCTATCACATGGTAAGGACAAGTTTACAGACCAGGATGCCAACTGCTGTCTGACCCGGCCGGTGCAATCGCAACCCCTCACTTGTTGGTGAGTAGCTCAGATACTGTTCTAAATGGCAGGATTATACATATGCAAATAGGTTGATCGTCACCTTCGTCATCACCATCACCATCATCATCATCATCATCATCATCATCATCATCATCATCATCATCATCATCATCCATCATTCATAAGTTGATGGGGTCTCGTCTTTCTGGATCACTTTAATGAATTAAGATCGCTTGCTTATTGGTCGTTGCTTCCTATGGCTCACGATATACCTGCACCTTGCATGGACATTATGAAGTCCTCAGACTAGGTTGTGTAACAATTCTAACGATATCGAATACTACCGTCATTTAGGACAAGACATCTTGTTGTTGGCCCCTAATGGAGGTGTTGTCTGCAACCAGGAATGATGCAGGACACTTTGTTCGTGGAATGGTTCAAACAAATGAACCAACGCTCTGGATCCAAATTAATACTGTGAAATTACTCGGAGTTTGACACTATTCCTCCTTATTTAGAATACACTACCTCTCAATGAACTATCGGGCTTCAGGCGAAAATCAGCATTTGTGCGCATAAAAGAGAGTTGTGGATTCAGTAAGCCGAGGAGAGGGGAAGACAAAAAACTGTGGAGATACGCATAAACTGGTCCAACTGGCACCCGAAATTAAACCAAGTCAGCCACCGGTGAGTGAGCTAATCACCGATAACTGCGGCTGGTCTATCAGGAGAAGCGTGAATCATTTTGTTTTAAGCTTTCTACAACAGCCAACTGGTTGTGTAAATTTGCTCGGTTGAATTCACCTCTCTGAACGCAGCGCCAGGCAAGGGACTCCGGATGGGTTGACATACGCGAACACCTTTCACTGCGTCACTGATCTTCCCGTCCTGATGAACCCATAGGTATTGTTTTCAATAGTGGTGCTAAAATCCTCATTCTTATTTTGTCTAACTTCTCTGGTTATCCGGGAGACAGTAAGCGTTACAAATAATAAGGTTGTGTTCAAACTCGAAGGTTACCCTCTCTTAATAACCTAACCACATATTTATTAGCTATTCTTGTGTCGCACTTGCTCTTCGCCATGATAGAAGGTCGTTTAGAAGTTGAGACCAAAGATAACAAACAGGATTTTAGCCGTGAAAGAGGTTTGTTGACAGCACCTTGGGGGTTCAAACAATTAGTATAGCATTGATATGCAGATAGATGCCCTACGATCGTCGAGTTCCTTGTGTTCAAAAGCGTTTTTGATGGGTTTTTGACCAGGTTTGAACACGCACTAGTTGTTTGTTTTAGAATTTCGTGATTTTTATGGGATGTTTGCATTGACAGAATCATGGGTTTCGGAAACTTAACGGTGAGCTCTCCTGGAGCTTTTCTACTGGAAGTGTTGTCTAATTAAGGACGACCACTCTCACTTTACTTCTGTCTAATCTCGTTATTGATATGATGAATGGAATGCCTTTTCGGCTAATGTTAACGAATATTGGAGCAATTATCTTGCAGACCCGGGATATGAGGACTTCGAAACAGCTAGCATCACTTGAAAAGCTGACCCAGATCATCCATATATTCGGCATATGCTTTTCGGATACGAGGTGTGAATTAAAGTTGCAGGATGTGCAGCGATACTGAAGGCTGTGGAACACAGTAACTACCTTAAAAGTTGCCTTAGTTCAGAGAAAAGATTGAAAAAAAGCTAGTGCGTGAGCCTTCAAGAGTCTTAAAAGACGCGTGTATTAGGCCAGTTTAGGACCATTTTACGGACGGCTGTCACAATTTGCCCCTTGTGGAGGATCATCTGAAAAATTCTCGGGCCACTGGGCACCGACATCTCAAAAGCATATATGAAAATGGAGTAACTCAGCAATGGGGTGATCAGAATACGGTTTTTTTTTCGCAGAGAGGACAGTACTGCCCTCAAGGAATGCTTCCAAGATTGCAAGCTTGATCATCTTGAACATGCGTTACCATACGGAATAACAATATTTCAGCAAGCATCTTGATGTCACGCCCCCAAACGCCCTCACTATGTCGGAAGGATTATAGTTGTTAAAAGAGTTTATCTGTCGACTCATACTTTTAAGCTACACAGTTTCTACAAAGTGTCATTTGCACCAAACTTCACACATATGTTTGTAAGTCAAACATGGATGTTTATCAGGTTAAAAGTCGAAGAAAAACATAATCATTCAAAATTCTTACGAATGCGGTCTCTCCTGTGTCTTTCCTGCAAAACTGCTTGCTTCAGCGCACAATCCCTTTCCAGCTTATCAGAGGGGATAAGTAACCTCAGATCTTTGCTTGATTTCGCTGTTCGCACGCTTCGGGAAGAGGCATTCACTCACTGGCGTGCTTGAAAAACAAATTCCTCACTAGCCGAAGTAAGGAACACTTGTGTGCACAGTCACGTGTATGCTGGAAGTGGTTGTCTACCGAATTCAGTAGCTACTGTAGTGCGCTTGCAGTTCAGTCAAACATCCCGTATTTTGTAGTTTGTATCACAACCCCGGCGCAGTCACTGTCGTGTATCGCTATGAAATTCTAATATGGGTGGAATCTGGGTCCAGTTTTTTTCCAGAATATTAGAGCCAGGATGAGAGGCTGATTGTCCCCAAATAATAATGTGGTAAGCTTGAAATATAGGTTTATATGTCATATGAATGATTGGAACATTTGGGTAATTTAATTTTATTCTTTATTGATACGCCAGTTGTTGGGAATCAGACTTGTGAGCTAATTACAGCCAACATTGACCAAGGAAGACAACGTACCCAGTGAATCCACAGTCATTCAATACCCAAGAATCGTCTTGCTCCTCATATATCTGTGATGGTTTAAGCTTGATATCAGCAAAATTAATGAAGGCTATCCCCCAACCGTAAGGAAGTTGCTTCCTGCAAATAATGCAAGTATCCAGTTCAAAATAGTTTAATGTTCGGAACTTGATTGAACAACGGATCCAGGATAAACGTCAGGTTCAGTCATCGACATAGCTAGTTGGATAGAGTTGCCGGCTCACAGGGATGCTCATTTTAGTCGGGTCATCTGACATGAAGGTCACAGTGAAAACTAGACAACTGTGACAAAACTATGAATTAACTGATTGCTCATGGTCACGATCATTTCAGATTAAAAAGTAGGCTGTGTATCAATTCTGCGCAAATCAACCGTTCTATAACAGAACGTTCGAAAATCTAATGTTGACACCCCAACGTGCGGTCATGAAGGTAAATTCAGTGTGGCCACAACTCCGTTTCAGTTAGATGGTTACAAAAAGGCCATGCATCGTACCTACTATGGTCAGAAAGGTTGGGTCATTCAGTTTTTATTCTAACACATGTTTTTCTGAACTACGTGACCTGCCGAGTGGACGAAAAATAATCTTCCGAAAAAATGAAGCAGAAGATAGAACATTCGGTTCATATGCCATCCAGGTTTTACTATCCCATATGTGTATAAGACAAAGTGGATGGTCTTTGGCTTGTTCGCTGAGCTGGGCAATTTGATTGCAAACGTTTCATGACCAGTCTAAACATGGATGTTTATCAGGTTAGAAGTCAAAGAAAAACATAATCATTCAAGATTCTTACGAATGCCGTCTCTCCTGCGTCTTTCCTGCAAAACTGCTTGCTTCAGCGCACAATCCCTTTCCAGCTTATCAGAGGGGATAAGTAACCTCAGATCTTTGCTTGATTTCGCTGTTCGCACGCTTCGGGAAGAGGCATTCACTCACTGGCGTGCTTGAAAAACAAATTCCTCACTAGCCGAAGTAAGGAACACTTGTGTGCACAGTCACGTGTATGCTGGAAGTGGTTGTCTACCGAATTCAGTAGCTACTGTAGTGCGCTTGCAGTTCAGTCAAACATCCCGTATTTTGTAGTTTGTATCACAACCCCGGCGCAGTCACTGTCGTGTATCGCTATGAAATTCTAATATGGGTGGAATCTGGGTCCAGTTTTTTTCCAGAATATTAGAGCCAGGATGAGAGGCTGATTGTCCCCAAATAATAATGTGGTAAGCTTGAAATATAGGTTTATATGTCATATGAATGATTGGAACATTTGGGTAATTTAATTTTATTCTTTATTGATACGCCAGTTGTTGGGAATCAGACTTGTGAGCTAATTACAGCCAACATTGACCAAGGAAGACAACGTACCCAGTGAATCCACAGTCATTCAATACCCAAGAATCGTCTTGCTCCTCATATATCTGTGATGGTTTAAGCTTGATATCAGCAAAATTAATGAAGGCTATCCCCCAACCGTAAGGAAGTTGCTTCCTGCAAATAATGCAAGTATCCAGTTCAAAATAGTTTAATGTTCGGAACTTGATTGAACAACGGATCCAGGATAAACGTCAGGTTCAGTCATCGACATAGCTAGTTGGATAGAGTTGCCGGCTCACAGGGATGCTCATTTTAGTCGGGTCATCTGACATGAAGGTCACAGTGAAAACTAGACAACTGTGACAAAACTATGAATTAACTGATTGCTCATGGTCACGATCATTTCAGATTAAAAAGTAGGCTGTGTATCAATTCTGCGCAAATCAACCGTTCTATAACAGAACGTTCGAAAATCTAATGTTGACACCCCAACGTGCGGTCATGAAGGTAAATTCAGTGTGGCCACAACTCCGTTTCAGTTAGATGGTTACAAAAAGGCCATGCATCGTACCTACTATGGTCAGAAAGGTTGGGTCATTCAGTTTTTATTCTAACACATGTTTTTCTGAACTACGTGACCTGCCGAGTGGACGAAAAATAATCTTCCGAAAAAATGAAGCAGAAGGTAGAACATTCGGTTCATATGCCATCCAAGTTTTACTATCCCATATGTGTATAAGACAAAGTCGATGGTCGTTGGCTTGTTCGCTGAGCTGGGCAATTTGATTGCAAACGTTTCATCACCAGTCGAGGTAACATCATCAATGAGTTATTAGGGAGCGTAGTGGTGCGTGGCTGTGAGTTGGTGGTTGTGCGCTGAGTACTGTTACGTGTGTGACAAAGCGGCACAACAGACAGAAGACAGCCGTCCAGCCGCATAGTGCAGTTGTCCCATATAGGCTGTTTACATCTTCCAGACATTATACTCCCGTCAACACTGTACCAGTTATCAGCGCTACTCCATTGTTTGAACTCCGGACACAAAATCATCCCATCGCTGCACTTACTCGATGTAGTTTAGTAAGAGGCAGGAGAACAGTGAGCAATTTTTAATTACATGAGTACTGTGAATAAGTGGCAACTCAAACAGGCTGTTAAGGTGGGCTGGTGAAATTCTGCTAGATTTTATTCTGTAGCATCCCGGATGGATGATGTGTATAACTTTGAAATTTCATCAAATAAGTTTCATCTCAGTAGAGCACCTGTTGTCTCAAACCAACAAATATAATTATTTTGTCGGCAGGCATGAACTTGGAAAGCTTAATGTTATTCTGAGACCTGGTTTTCCCGATTCCCGCTATAGCATTCACTGCATCGTGTGCAATTTTCATCGACATTCCATTCTACACATATTGTATCAATATGTGAAAATAAGTTTTCAAGCGCTTCACGTTGACATGTTCTCTTTTAACAGACTCTTAAAAAAGAAAGGCGACTTTATTTTCTGACTCAGCTTCCGCTGTACCGTTAATTGAGAAATTTCTGGCGGTTTCTGGTGTCTTCGATAACAAAAAACCCCAATTACTTTATTCACTATTTGCCTGTCATCGATACTTCAGTCCTATTTCAGTTGCTGCATGTGTTGGTCACGTGTATCCTCTAAGCGAAACCCGTAAATGGCTCGGAGGGAATTTACCAGATCCAGCGAACACTAACCCAAGGTGACAGCCAGATGAGAACAATATGACTGTCTATAACCATCCCGTGTAATGTGTTTCTGGTCATTAAAAATAATTTTATCAGTGCCACTCAGTCAAGATAAAGTTGAAACTAGCTTTAGATAAAGGTCTCTTCGGCGAGAGCTTTGTTCAAATACGCCTATGCAGTAGTGCGTTAAATACTCACGCGCACCTACTTCCCAAATGTTGCTTCAACACCCTGTCCGCGAATGTAATATTGTGTAGCCAGAATGGCCGCACCTGTACTCATTCACTGTATGCAGACAAGACGTCCTTACGAGTTGATTATGCCAGAAATAGTGTCACAACCGTGAATCGACTAAACGGTTTTTCAAGTGTGTACACTGCACTTACTAACCATTTTCAATCATTTCTGCTGACGATTTCGTTTGATAATTTTCCAAAACGGCAGCTACCGATTTCTTACGTCAAACTTTAGGTTAGCCAAATTCCAGTTACTTGCAGATCATTCGGTGTCGGTCGTATATACCAAAAAAACGCCCACGTGTCTGGAGAACAGTATCTCAAATTAATCACAAATATTCCGCTTGCAACTGCTCAGTGACCGTTGGCACACATATTCGCAGATTATTTATAATACAAAACAGCAAGGCTAGGCTATTTACATAAGAATTCCGCGGCTTTTGAATAACTTCTATGAAGACCAAAACGATCAAGGCATCAGTCAAGGGAGTGCCGACACATTCTTCCCCAAAAACAGCGAAATCGGCCAAACTCTTGTTGCATATTTGCTTGAGTAATTCTTTAAGGGACTTTAGTTACTCATGGTTCACCGCTAGTCGTAAGAAGATAACGAGCCAATCATTGCGTAGAATGTGCTGCCAGTTATTCAGAATAGATATTTGAGGGTATTCGTTCTGAATGTTGTATGCCTCAATAAGGCGGATTAATCTGTGTAAAATCGCATTCCATTCACTAAATATCGATTGTTCTGAAAGCCAATTTGCCGCCTACACACAAATGCCAAAACGCGTTTTTTTACACTCGCAAGCAACTCAGATCATTAGACAGATTTGTGTGGAGCAATAAGGTATTCCAGATTTTGAACGTCTTCAGTTTTTGGAATGCGTAAACGTAGGTAACAACACCTGCGACTTGCGAATATTTGCAAGCAAAACAAGTGTAGACGTTTGATATTGTTTTGGTTAGGTCTTCCACAAATATTGATTTCCTACAACGTACTTCAGGAACTACGAACGAACGCAAAACGTCTCCTTACTTTACAATGCAAAGTGCGGGCCGCAAACCAAATCCAATTAGAATTGTGTCCAACGTTTATCTTGATTTATAGTGGAATTCTGGTCAGACAGATCGACGATTATGAACACGATCATTCCTCTGGTGAAATGGGAAGACAAAATGGACCATAGTTTTGTAAACTTATGTAATCCTGGGATATTATAAAACGTTTGTCTGATGGCTCCTGAACGTTCGTCATTTTTTCGTCTTCCAAAATGCTTCTACTCGTTTTGCTTTTGTCAACACAGATGGTATTCAACAAGCCGTGTGGGTGAAGGAAAAACAACTCAGTGACTTAGTGGCTTACGACATTCTCTTTGAATTAAACAACGGTTTACAAATCACCATAATTCACTAAGCGATAATAAAGCATGACCATTTAAACTCACCCGTAACAAAATGACTATATCATAGCACCATAAACTGCTCGCCTTATCTGTTGCGTCCTTTTGGAAGTATGGTCCAGCTTGGGTTACTCTAGTGACGGCACACAGAATGAAAACATTTTTTGAATAACCCAAGATGACTTAACATAACAGTTACAGAAAAATATACAATAAACAGAGGCAACTTCAATGTGAAACTTAAATGCTATGGCAGTCGCAAAATTGTTCCGTAACTCTTTTTTAGCAGCGCGCTTTTCTTCCCCATTTCTCTCACTCATCCACAATTGACGGAGAAAAAAGAAACCAATATTTTGTTCGATATCTCAAACGCTCGGTTCTTCTGAACAAATATGGCCTCAAAGTACGGGATTCAAAAGGTTGAAATCCTGTTACACCTTATTCCCCCACCCTGAACAAACTCTTCGCTAAAAATTCACCTATTGTGAGGGTCTGTCTACCACCGCCACCGCCACCACGAACACCAACACCATCACCACCACAAACACCACCACCACCCCCACCATCAATTTCACCAACATCACCACCATTACCAATACGACCAACTCCAATACCAACAACACCATCATCAACGCCACCACCACCACCAATACGACCAACACCACCATCATCAACGCCACCACCACCACCAATACGACCAACACCACCATCATCAACGCCACCACCACCACCAATACGACCAACACCACCATCATCAACGCCACCACCACCACCAATACGACCAACACCACCATCATCAACGCCACCACCACCACCAACAACAACAACTCCAACACCACCCACACCACCACACTCTGTGCCATCACAGTCCCCTCGCGCACACGATCAATAGTGTCCTTTCTACTTTACGAGCAACGTAAATAAGCCGACGCTATTTGTACCTTTGATATTCGTGAAACAGCTAGATGAGACGCAATTCACTCACAGTTATCGAACTTAGAACAACGTTCAGCGCGATTCCGTGGACTGCTAGAGGAATGCCCAGAAGTGGAAAGCTGCGAAGAATGCGTGCACACTGCGTGCGTGCTTATTTGAAGGTGAACCCAACTGCAGGGATTGTGGATGTCTTTCCGAAACGTTTCCAGCCAGCAGTGGTCACCAAAACGTTCATCGGAGGTGTAAAACACTAATTCGATATAAATCGATACATATGTTTCCTGTAAGTCTGTCTTTTGACTGGTTATATTTTTTAACATCACTCTTAAGTTTGATTTGAGGTAACAGAATTAGGCTCACTATTTCTTTCTCAGTAAATCGAGCTTGGTAATTTACGCCTACACTTTGGTTGTCGCCCCAAAAAGTCACATAGCTTAGAAACGTGAGATTCAGATGGGTCCCAGGTGATACTGTTGCAAAACCAAATTGGTTTGCAAATGAGTGTATTTGGCTGACTGCGCGTTTGTTTGTCACCGGCTTGCCCCAACTTCCCATTTTAGCGATTACGGTGGTTTCCGCCACTTATAAGCCTCTAGTTCTATGCATCCCTTGTTATTCCTGAACGCTTTAAACTCGGAAGATGCTTTTGCTTAGTGCTTTGAAATCTAACTACGCATTAAATTCACTTGATTAAAAAATCTTGAATGCATTTATGGAGCCTGCTCCTTCTACTTATGAACCACAAGTAGACTGGAAGTCACATATACCACGAGAGAAGGAATTCGGTAACAGCTGTTTTAACCTTACTAAACTTGTGAGATTCGGAAAACGGAGTCATTAGTACACGCAAAACCATTAATCTGTGAATGTCGACCAACTCAATGCAACCAGAATAGATATGGTCGCAGCCTCAATAGATAAGGTTTCCTTAATCTTCAGACCAAGTTGATCTCGCTTGCGTTTTACACTCCTCAGCTACACGGATTAATTTATGCTGGTAACAGTTGAACAAACTCTAGTTGAACACGTTTCCTTCCACACCCTCCTATATATGGCCTTCAGTTTACACTTTACGAGGTGCCCATAAGCAGGAATTATAATTTTGACCTTAATATGTATATATATATTGAATATTTGGCGGACAGTATTCCTTTTCTTTGTAATTGACGAACCATATGGAAACTTATTCACGACCTTGTTTCTGTAAGCTCAACGAACATGTTCAAGCCACCACAATCGCAACCAAGACTTCTTCGTAGCAGTCCGGATGAGTCCAGCTGTTGAGTTCTGTTCAATTACAAAGCGTTTTCCCGGTGCTGTTCCCTTGTAAACCTTGCACACATTCAGTTCCATGGTCCCCTCAAACTTGAATAAAGCACCTGCTATAAGACACGTTGGCCTTTTCTATACGGGTTCCCGGCTCACGACCAGCGCCCAAGTTAGTGGAAGGTTTGTTTCTGAGGCGCCTGTTCCATAAATTCTTGCTGCCGTCGTTGGTGTATCTATATGAACCAACTTTATTGGATCGTTCAGATAATTCTAGATTATTTTCCGATGAAATGGTTTATTTCAAAGGGCTAGGTTTACTGCACTCGCAGACACAGTATCATAAGCATTACATAAGCTCCCCGGCGAACGATAAACTGATCAAGCAGATGAGAGTAGCCACCATGAGTATGTCTATGTGTTGCTTCTGGTAGCGAAAATTTGTATTGACGATAGCATGCATGAGGGTACCTGCACAGGAAGAAGTGACTCCACGATTGTGTGCATTGAAGTCTCCCAATGAGGCAATCTTGTCGCTTTCCGAGTAAAAAGAATGTCTACTCTGGTAAAAACAGCTTCATTTGTGATCATCAGAACAAATTAGTGACTCGTTAAACACTGTCAAGTTTGACTGGTCTATCAATCTCCGGTGTGGAAAATTAAGAAATAAACCGATTTCGCAAAGTTTGAGTTCATTTGTTTTTTCTACTCTAGTTCAAAAATATGTACTTGTTTGTCTCCCATCAGTAAGCCGATCCAGTAGAATGAGGAATGGGCGTCCTGGAGATTTTCCTGTTTTTTTTTCAGGCGTGTTACGCTGAGCATCTTTTAGTTGATCCCTTATCTCCCCAACCCTATAGTACATGATAAAGTATGCTTCCAACAACGAGTGATCTGGTGATTAGCTTAAGCCCGTAATGTTCGAACGCTCCAAGAAAGTGAGCTCGTTTGAGGCACGAATATAAAATATTGTCAGCTATTGTACCGTTCTCATAGCTGTATTGTCTAGAGTAGCCATTACAACTTTTGTTCCCAAACGACTATGGCCTTGACTGACCAGATGTCGTTGAGAATCTCGGCGTTGTTGTAAGCATTCGAGTTTTTGCAGCCGTTCCTGGTTAGCCGAACCATTGTGAAATAAGTGGTCAAACAGTGTTTGGGCTGAGCCCAAGTGGCATCTGAGATGTTAATATATCAGCCTAAACCCGGGAAACTAATCCTGAGACTGACCCCGTAGAGCTGCTCTAAGGAAGTTAGTGTGGTCAAATGTAGGTGCCCTTAAACGCACACATGAGTTTTCGGTGCTACACATCATTTCGTCCGGTTTGTGCAATGTTTTTTCACATAGTTACCTCCAGCGCCGTTGGAGGCTCAAAATATCGCATTTGCAAATTGTTACGGCTGGTCACGTATGCAACAGTGCAGGAATAACCACAAATCCGTATACAGCAAAACACTAGCTAATTCAATATAACGGACTGTAATATGATTCGTCAGATTATACACAAAAATGGTACTGCAATAAAGACGAGCCCACTAGGTCGCATTCCAGGGTAATAAGGCTTTTGACTGATGTATTCACGTGTAACTCCAAGGAAAAACGGGCGCAGTGGAACGCGATTTTATTTACTTGGTTCATACGATTACAATAATTTGTAATTCAATAACAGTCACCGCAACGCAATACAATCTATAGAAGATAACTGTGCTTTTAAAGTGCCAACAAACAAGCATCCCAGAACCCGATGCGAAGGTTTCCGACAAGGGAACTATTCAAATATCCCTTGCCCGTGGCACTCAAGCGGACGGAAAATTTTGAATTTGGATAACTGAACCTGTTTCATTTAAGCAAAAAATCACTACGATGGCTATCGCCATCGGCAACTGGACTTTCAAAATTAGTGAACTGAATGAGCCGAATGGTGTGGCGATACCGGTTCATCGACCCAGATCCCATAGTTGTGAGTAGCATTTTACAGTAGTTAGGATTTTATTAAAGCTGAATAAACATTTAAATACGCCGTCGCACAGACTTTATCAAGAGGTCGAAAGTAGGACACCTGTAGCAATTTATGAGTGTCATATATCCGTAAAAGTACTTAGTGCAAATTCTATTTCACTATATCAAGACGATACACTTCGTACAGCGGAATCCTAGAATAACGTCTAACTCTACCAAAAAAACTAATCCTTTTCAGCAGCGCAACTCGACTTCAAAATTAGTGAACTGAATGAGCCGAATGGTGTGGCGATACCGGTTCATCGACCCAGATCCCATAGTTGTGAGTAGCATTTTACAGTAGTTAGGATTTTATTAAAGCTGAATAAACATTTAAATACGCCGTCGCACAGACTTTATCAAGAGGTCGAAAGTAGGACACCTGTAGCAATTTATGAGTGTCATATATCCGTAAAAGTACTTAGTGCAAATTCTATTTCACTATATCAAGACGATACACTTCGTACAGCGGAATCCTAGAATAACGTCTAACTCTACCAAAAAAACTAATCCTTTTCAGCAGCGCGCAATGCACGACTCTTACTGAAGCACTCAAACCTGTGCGAAAAATGCTCGGTGCCAGCTCATTTTTCTACTTTCAAACGAAAAAGTATCTTTGTGATCGTTTACCGAATGACGGAAATACTTACAGCTATCAGAACCCCACTAATCAAAGACTTTCACGGTGGTCAAATTACGACGGAATGCCACGACTTTAGTCCGACGATCTAATTATCCAATATCTGATCCGAAATTACAGAGACAAATGAATTTTTGGCAAGGCGATTTTCATTGCTTTGGTCATTAAAAGGCTTTCGAAGACCCTTGATTTTACGTAACGCTTGCTCAACGCATTTTATTGCACACTCTGAGTGCTAGTTCATTCATTTTTTTGTGAACACGAAAACAGGCAAAGAGCGGGCTTGTTGAACCATCGGTGGAAACATCACAAACGCGTAACTCAATTTTGACTGGTTTGTTGTGGTCAATTGTTTGTATTCCACGATTATTTCTAGGTTCTTTCTCACAGCGCATCACTGAATTTTGTTTGTATTTGGCTGGATGCACCCAACGTCCATGGACCATCAGGCCGAACCGCCGACCTATCAAAAAATAATTGTGGACTGAACTCCAGAATACATATTTTTGGTCAACTCCTGTGTTCCCCTCTTGAAAATTTCGGCCCAGTAATAGGTCAACTTGGCTGCAAAGTTCGGCATTATTTTATTCTTTTATAGATCGCCTTGCATTTAAACAGGATGTTGCAGTGGGTGTTAGTAGAAATTTGATAACAAAATCACCTTGCACTGATTTTGAAGCCTTCGAGCCTCCATGAGAAAGCATCACCAATGTCAAACTATTATCACCATCGTCGTCATTATCAGCTGCAAAACCGTGCGCGTGCGTACAGTGGTTATAGCAGCCATAGTTGCGTTTGAAGGTAGATAGCTACGAATTGGTGGTGACAGCTGATATAGTTGATGAGTGGTAGAATGGGAGCCGGCGGAATATCCATTATTAGATCGAAATGGTAATTATGCTTTGGAGATAAAAGCTGGAGTGCACAAACGCCATTGAGGACGTGACTGTAACATGTTTGAAAAAGTCCTCAACCATCGAAGCGCCCGGTCTTGGCGTCTCCATCCAGGGCGAAAACCAGCGCAGCTAACTTTGCCGGTGATGGCTTTCATACTTCCATGTCAAGTTATTGTTTGACCTTACCCGTTTAACTTCCACTATTCACACGGTTGTGCGAAAAGGGCTCTTTGAGGACGTCGGTCGTCTGGCATTCGGAACAAGTGACCAAGTAAGCGCAACCTATGGGGTGTAATCTGTACATCCATCGTGTGCGAATAATTTCTTCTGAATACAATTCGACACACTTCAGAATTACTTCTCCGGTGTTCCTACAAGGCACAAACGATGTTTCAAAGACGTCGGCGGTCATGCTAATAGATGTTTGACATCGTACGCACGCATCGATCAGGTTTCTTACTCGTGTAATAATACGGAGCATAGGGCAGCATTTAAAAGTCAACCATTTACGGATGAGTTGATATCATGCCTACGCCACAAGGGATGCAGGTTCATGAACCTTGCGCTGACTAGCCAAGTCTGGAATGAAATATCATCCTTGGTTAGACTGCTAGGAATGACACAGCTGCGCAGGTGGATACGTTTGTCTGCAAATTTTACTCACCTCGGCCTCAAGTGTGAGCTCCTGATTTTAGACCACCGAGATATGCATCGTATCTTCACACTTTCAAGGTTTGAACCCCATGTAACAGGACATATTTGCTCCCTAAATATTTTCTGACGGTTCGCTGAATAAAAGGCCCTCATTTTTACTTATAAGTATACTAACTGTTGCCATCTGATGGCCCTTTGATTGCACCAACTGAGATAAAGATGGCTCTTTTCATCTACTGTACATCTGATATTTTGGTCTCTCCTAGGACCTTTCACTACTTGGCTTTTCAGCCTTAATAACGTCATACTCATTGCTCGCTGGTTTTGATTTCTTGGTATCAATCAGGACTAGCGGTTGACATACTCATTTGTCATTTAATTGCATTGAGGAAGTTGGACAGACAGCGCATATTTCACACTTTGACATGCTTCATCCAGCTTTGGTTCACTGTAGAAAGTAGGTGACATAGCTCCGATCGATCACGCTTGGGAATGGTGGTTCGTCAATGAAAGTGAACTGACCTTTTTCTTGATGACTTACCAGGGACAGAATGGAGGCGAATTGTGAGGAACGGTTGGACCGTGGTGTGATCGAGATCACATGTTGCGCTCCAAAAAGAACGGCAGTCTCCACAAGGTTGCTGACGAGCAGGGGGTTCAACTGAGTATATGGTTGATTTGCGCTCTGTGGCCTCCAGATTACGCTAAATGAACGCATATGCTAAAAGTCCTCGCTTCTTAGAAACAGTTGAGGATCAGCACACCTTGAAGGACTGGTCAGTCTTTAACGCTGCGGTAAACTCGAAGGCTACGCCAGCTGAAACATCCATCCTAGGAAGGCCAACGGTAACCAGCCAGATAAAGAGCAGCAAAACTCCGTGGTACGCGAAATTTGCGAGGCGTTTTCGGGATAAAGCCATAGGGTCACCAAAGACAGTATTGTAGCGGCAGTAAAGCGTCACTATCAAGTGACAAACATGTCGGAATTCATGGAAGCATCAGTGCTCTCTTCCCTGAGGACAGGCAGTTTTCACGTTCGGCCCAAAAAACCGCATGCTCCAATCGACACTTGGTTGACCGTGACAGGCAGCGCATTAGTTAATAACTTTGAAATCCGTCTGAATCAAAAGCGTCTCATGCGTATCAGAAGGCACTACTGTGCGCAGCCACATTACAAGTGAGACAGTAATGCATTATTTTCTGATAACTCGGGCCAGGCCAGGCTCCTGCTTTCGAGTAGTTCAGGTCGTTGAGCTATCAGCTCAGGGAAGGTTACCCAAAGCAACGCTTACACTTTAAAATTAGAGGCTGGGTGCAGGATCCCCGAACGAAACCCTACATTCCGCAGACTTGTGGGTTTGGCTTATAATTTAAAAGCATTACGTGGAAACATCTACTTCTTCGACCCTATCACTACCCCCCCCTTACACGTCCCTCCGCAACCTTTAACAAATATCAAACTATACGCAGAGCTAAACCTACCCTAGGCACAATTCTCCGTGTGCAAGAACACACGCGATCAATCTAAAGTAAAACTCCCACGGTGTCAATTGATGCTCAAGTGCTTAAAAGTCTAAGTTGCATACGTGGAGATAATTTATCGTCCCACGTGGCCGATTACATCGGATTATAAGAGCTTCAAACTTCACGTCTAATTTGCATTTGTCACATAAACCAAGGTGTTATCCACCGGAGCCACGATGGTAATTTATGCTGAACTACCCTTGTTTTCCTCAAAAGTTGTTTCCTTATCAACCCTGAAAAATTGAATGGAGTGGGAACAATGTTCAGGAAGAAAAGAGTAGATCCCTCATTTGTCGGTCTTGCATGAATTGCGAGTAAAATGGTTGGTATCAGCAAAACTTTAACCCATAAGCCAAACAGTAAAGCTGCGGAAAATTCTAACCACCATAACTCATCTATCAATTGAATCATATATACATTTTCTCTAGACGGGGCATTAATCTTAAGGTTAGGGAAACAAACTAAACAGTAAACAAACGGTATCGATCAACAATCAGCCGGGTCCGTAGAGCTCACAAGGTATGCGAAGCATCCTGATGTTTGTCAATCAAATGTCTCCACTGAGCTTATATTTTACACAACTCGCTAACGCATCCATTTTCCACCTAATTTGACCTCAGCGGAAATCTGTGCTGATCTCATATTAGGTGCTTTGTATACGGTGTTCGTTGCCTCGTAATGTCCCATAGATGCAACCTGAATTTTCCTCTGGTATTCAATCCGAGACATTGCATTGTACATCTCTCTGTAGTGCGGGAAACATTTGACTGACTGATTTCAGCGGTTTCGAATATTATCTAAACAGACATGTTCAAGTTAACAAAAATTATACTGCGTAACAGGTATCTAGGATACCACAGAAGCCCTTACACTCTGACATCTCCATCACCATAAACGCTTAGTTTGTTCGAAGTTATTGCGACCCGAAATTTCCGGTATCTCGTAAGCGTGGACGATAATGCTTGGACACGTTATTCATTGTTTCGTATGTTGTTTCTCGTACAAACTCTCAACCGTATTCATCGACGTCGGGTGCGATCGCGCGTATCTCTCATAGTACTCTCTGCTGGTGTAGGTGTCATGTTTCCTACAAAATAGAAAGAAAAGCCTGACGCCCTGCTACTCTTGTTTGGAAATGCGATTTGTACCTGATGCGCCGTGTAACTGCAGTTTAAGCCAAAGTGTGCCACACTGTCTTCCAAAATAGCAATCCGTCAATTGTAGGAAAGTGGAGATTAGTATAGAGCTCCGAATTTGATAAGAGCTTTGATTGGCTCACTTATTACCTCTGTAGCACAGAAATCATATCGGTTGTCGTATATCGCTTTTCAAATATACCAGTTTATTCCATTCAAAACATTTCAAATTAAATATCCTGAAAGAACAAATCGGATAGAAATACTGCCTTTGTTTGGGTGAGATACACAAATTTCAGTGAGTCGGAGCAGTTTTTTCGGTTTCTAATTTAGTTGGTAGTCAAGTTTCAGAGAATCAGCTGGTTTAAGTCCCTCCGACGCACAACTTGATACGTAATAAAATACAAAGACAACCGCCTCTGTGCCCTGCCTGCGGCAGATGATAACATGTACAATTGAAACATTCGATGCAATAATAATTATTCGAGTTTGTTAATGACTTTCCTCAATTGGAGTATAACACAGAGGTGATCTTCAGTTAATTACGGAACCCAACAAATTCGATATTGAACACCATATGCATTCGCCAAAATGGCAGGTGCCTCTGGAAGGACGTTCTACCATGATTGAAATTGCGAGGCAACAAACGAAGAATTGTCACATAAGTTCAAGTGTTTTACGCTTTAACATGAAAGAACGTACACTGAGATCGTCTAAATATGAAAGCTCTTAACCAGCATCAACCAAGTAAAATATGTATGGGAGTGATTTTTGTTGTATTCAATTAGTTTTACTGAGCTAGTATAATTTTACTACAGAAAGCGGCAAAACATTTCAATCCGCATTCCGAAGAACCACCTTGAGAGTTAAACAGTTACTACTTGAATAGTCTGATATCTCAGTGGAAGGTACATGAATAGTATAGTGTCAACTAGAATGACGCCACTAAGGCTTCCTACCATTGGCCACTAAGTTTCTGAGCTGCCTTGATATTGGTAATATTATCCATCCTAGGGTTCATTTGGTAGGCGATGATCCACGTTTGCCGTCAAACATCCATTCAACTTGAAGATGTACTGTAATTCAATTGACAAAAAGCACTTGTATCCAAATTTCTTTGTTGAATGTCCCTTCCACGTCATTATTCGGTCGGTAACAGCACACGTTTCATTTTGTTAGATATTTGATTTCCAGGTGCAACATAAAGCTTAATGGAAAATTGAAGGCAAGAAATAGATCGTTTAATTTGTGGCCCCATTGTTTTCAGCGCCCTCATGAGTAAGACACATTAAGAATGGGACAGCTCAAACAGTTTTAAAAGTTAAACGTCCATCAGCACTTTGCTGCGCTTTTAGTTAAACGATCCTACAAACGAAAGCTTCGGTTAATTTCAAAACACATCCTTCACGTCTATGCGATCTTTTGGGGGCGGGATTATTCGATGGACTAGAAAAATAAAGTGGCCGATCCATACATGGACAATACGAATGACGTAGAGTCTGCGGGTAACACAGACAAAACTGTATATCCGAAATCACCGGCAGTCACGCGAGCATCTCATGGAGGATTTAATGCGTGCACAAATGCTTTTTGAGGGCTTGAGTAAACCACGCATTGGTTGTCTTTTGTCATCCTTAAACTTAAATTTCAAAGGAGCGTATTTTGATAATGTGCACCATTCCGTTGCTCAAGCAGTTAAGCTTGAACTGCGCCTAACTTATTATCTGAAGAAACTGGTGTAACGGTGGATACTACTGCTGAAGCATGCGAGTAGTATGTTGTTTTCCCGTAACTCCGCTTCACGTATTTTGAAAAGTGAGGTTTATTACGGAATTTGTGAAATCACTTTGTATCATTCTTTTACGTTTGAAAGATAGTCACTGAGTATCCAGGAATGTCCAGGAAGACCTGTTTGGGAAGAAGACGGATACAGTTTATATAAACAAGATGCCCATGAAAGTTTTGTTTCCCTGCCCAATAGTCTGTACCTGTTAAGTTGGTGTTTCCCAATAAATAACTCCGAAGCAGAGGCCTTCTTTCTTCCGCTGGTAGTGTATTCCCAAAGTGTCTAAGCAAGGATAATATCTTTTTAGTGATTTGAATATAAATTTCAGGAAGTCTCCTCGGCTAATAAATTACAGATAAATACTCTTTTGTTACCCTACTCGGGATACAATGCTTATAAAACTACCGAGGGTTTGCGCGAAAAAAATCATTGCTGCTAAACAACACGTTTCGTTTAAATTGCTCAGTAGTTGTAGAAATAATTATAGAAGTACATACAAACACGTTGCCTTGAGTACCAAACTTCATACATGTCAGCCCATTCACATTAAAACAGATTTCTATTTGCATTCGTCAAGTAAAAATTTGTTGTTTAGCAAACAGTGGAATGGAACTTGACCAAAGGCTTCATGTGGCCCCGTGTGCGTGTATGCCTTTTTTTTCTACAAGCACCCCGCTTGTATGTAATATAGGTTAGACCTCCTCAATATATGGAAGTTTACAAATGGAACACAATGTTTGAAGCTTCACAGTGCAAAGTATAAGCTCATTAAATGACCGCCATTAGTACAATTCTAGGATTTGCTAGGTTGTGCTGAATTATCCATTCGAATTGCGTTAGAAAAGCAGATATACCTGAGAATGCCGATTGCTACAACAATCCCCAAAGTGATTAACACTACACACACTAGTTTTATTCAGTACCATTGCGCCACCAAATTCTTTTACTGCTGTTCACTGCTACAAAACAAAATAAACCACTTTCGGATTTTTTCGCATGCTTTCTACATGTTATGTTTATCTCCGGCAGTTAGGGTTGTCCGACAATTTCCAAAAAATGAATAAATAGGATTGAAGCTGGCAGCGTTTCTTAAATTGAATGTTTGAGATTCACTTGAGAATTCCCTACGAGTGCCATGAACAACTCGCGTTTACTTGTTTGTGTACGCTTTTGATGTTAAAGTGGCCTCCACGTCATTCTAAGGTCAGTTGGCAGTTTGACAGAGACGTTTTCTTACCATGTAAAACTTTTTTACAACCCTGAATGCAAGAC